TCTGCTGGCGTCACTGCCACTTCCACCGACACGGCCCGCACGTCCCACGGGACTGGCCTGTGGGGGGGCTCGGCCACCCGAGGAGGGACAACCTGCAGGGAGAACGGGGGTGCTCAACACAGCAGGGGAGGGGGAGTAAGATGTGGGGAGATGGGAGGCCAGGCTTCCAGTTCCAGCCTGGCCGGAGAGAGCCTGTACGGGCCTCAGTTTCCCCCTCTGGAAACTGGGAGCCCCGTGCCCCTCCTTACCTGCTGAGTGGCAAAGGGCGGGTAGGAGGCCCGGAGGAGCGGCTGGGCCCTGGGCCAGGGCTGCAGGAGCAGGAAGGTCTCGGACCGGGAGCCCAGAGAGGAGTTGGCAGGCGGGTAGCGGCCCACCTGCTGCACGCGGAAGTGCTCGGGGGCGTCCAGGAGCTCCAGGGCTGCCGGCAGGTACACGGGGTCCTGGGGGCCCTGGTCACAGCCCACTGAGGAGCGAGAGGGACAGAGAGATGGCGAGAGCTGCAGAGCTGGGCACAGCGCCGCGGGCAGCGGAGGAAGGAGGGTGACGCCCGCCCAGCCTGGGGCGTGGAGGGTCTCCGCTGCAGAACACCAGCTATGTGCAGGCCACCATTTAAAACACGTTACATACGTGTATTAACTTTCAGTTTTTGTAACTGAGAAGGTTCTCTGACTGTTAATCTCATTTTATGTTTGTTTATTTTTTAAATTATTTTTGTTGATTTCAGAGAGGAAGGGAGAGGGAGAGAGAGATAGAAGCACCAATGATGAGAGAGAATCATTGATCGGCTGCCTCCTGCACGCCCCCTACTGGGGATCGAGCCCACAGCCCGGGCATGTGCCCTGACGGGGAATGAACTGTGACCTCCTGGTTCATAGGTCGATGCTCAACCGCTGAGCCACACCAGCCGGGCTGATCCCATGGTATGGATGGAGACAATGAGGCTGAGAGGTTAAGGTACTTGCTGGGGTCCCAGTTGGTGCGTGGTGGAGTCAGAGCCCAGGCACCAACCACGGGACCACCCTGCCTCCACGCTACCTCTCTCTCCACCCCATGCTGTGCACTCCCTAGACCAGTGATGGCGAACCTATGAAACGCGTGTCAGAGGTGACATGCGAACTCATTTTTTTGGGTGACTTTTCTTTGTTAAATGGCATTTAAATATCTAAAATAAATATCAAAAATATAAGTCTTTGTTTTTCTATGGTTGCAAATATCAAAAAACTTCTATAGGTGACACGGTCCCAGAGTTAAGTTAGGGTTTTTCAAAATGCTGACACGCCGAGCTCAAAAGGTTCGCCATCACTGCCCTAGACTGTGGGTCTCCCTTCCCCTTCAGGGCCAACAGAGAATGCCGCCTCCTTAAGGAAGCCCTCCTTGATTGCTTGCACTCTCGCCGGCGGCTCTGGCTGCCTTCTCTGAATTCGTTATCTTCCTGTTTATCACCCGGGGCCTGGCTGACTGATCCTGGATCCAGAGCAGACGTCCTGGGAGCCTGGGGACATGCATTTGCGCCCAAACTCGGCCTCGGGGGAGGTTGGGCCAGTGTTTCCGCGCCTGTAGGACCCGCGTTGGTGACAGGGGAGACGGGAGGGCTTTGTAAACTGTGGTGTGTGGAGCGGGGGCTGCCACTCCTGCTAATGGATGTGAGGGGCTCTCCTCCCTGTGAGAGGGTTGTGGGCTCCTGCGGTCCCCTGGGAGGGGGGCAGGTGGCTGAAAGCAGCCCCAGAGCCGCTCAGCCCCGCTGCTGGGCTGGGCCTTGATGGTTTCAGCCTCCCTCACGACCCTCCCCATCAATGAGCCCGTGTCTGAGACACTTACCCCCGCCCCCCCCAGGGTAACAGGTGAGCGACTGGCTCCAGGGGCAGCCACGCGCCTCCCTCCCTCCTCCTACTCCATCGCCGGGATAATTACAAGATGCTGGAGGCCTGCCTCCCACGGATTTCCCGCATCCAGATCCCAGCTGGGCGGGGGGAGGCCTCACTGTGCCCCCCTCTTCTGTGGCATCATCCACCTACAGCCGCGGCCCATGCCAAGGGGCGCCGCTGCCCCTCTCCAGGGATGGGGATCCCCTAAGCGCCAGGAAGGCACGGATGGGGCGATCTCCTGGGACTCCGGGTCACGGAACTCCCTAGGGCAGGGAGAGCGGCCGCAGATCTTCTCCAAGGTCCCTGCAAAGGGGCAGCTTCCGCTCCCGGGTGGGGTGGTGGTTCTTGGAGTTTGGGCTGACTACAGAGAAGATGTGAGTACATAGTTGGGTAAGCCAGGGCAATAAACTGGGATTTCATGATGCAATATATTTTTCAGGTTTTAATTTGAAACTTGAAAAAGCACCCAGGAGAGTGAGAGAGTAGACAATCCTACAGAACTATTTTGGCAACTCTAGTGCCTCTAATAAGAGGGGACCAAGAGACAGAAACACAAGACAGGGTTATTAATTTTTCTATTATAAGATACATGAATAATGTATAAAGTTCAGAAAAGACGTTTAAGGAGGAAAATAAATCACCTGTAATCCCAATTCAAGATAACTTTGATCTTTTTGGTATTTCCTTTCAGCCTATATTCTACATATGAATAAACATTTTGTAAAAATAAGAACTGCAATCACACTATGAAAACACTGATAATCAGCTTTTTCTCCCATAACAATACAGAAGTTTTTAAAAAATAGTGCAGACAAATGCAATTACATGACTGATTTTCTACAAAGGCCAAGAGGGACAGGACGCGTCCGTGCGCTCGGTCTCAGAAGCTCCGGACTGAGGCGGCGGCTACCTCTCTGCCGCCCCCCGCCCCCCGCAGCTCACCTGTAAAGGCTAAAGGCGCTGAGCCCTGAATCGGAGCCTGAATCCAAGGACAAGGGGGACCGCGGGGCACGGGGTGAGAAGGGCCAGTGGGGCCGGTGACAGCCATGTGTCCTGCCCTGACCCGGAGGGAGGGCTCCAGGTGCAGGCCGCCAGAGTTCATGCCCAGCCCACCCCAGGGACGGGCCTGTGGGCGCTGG